CTCGGTCCTAACTACGTTGGTTTTGCGACATCGGCAACTATGTCGTTACTAGAACTCCTTCATTAAAAGAAAAACACTATCCTTGACTGTCAAAAGTAGCTACTTTTCATGCAACAGTGACCCCAGTTTGACAGAAGACCACAACGCACACAGGTCAAACATGTAAGCAAGATTTTGTTTTTGTGTTTTTTTTTCTTTAAGCCAGATTTCACTGTTGTCTTAAAGGTAAAATTTAGTTTGTTATGCAACTAGCCGTCTGTATATTACACCTTCTCCATTTTGACTTTACTTAGATTTAATTTCTAGAGCGTTACGCGTCCTTATAGAAGTCTATTTTTTGCGTGTATTTGTCACGGGTCTCACATTTGGTGACTGGTTAGCAGTGTGCTGGCCATCTTTGGTTTGTAGAGGAAATCTTCACCATGAACAATCGAGGGGGCTCAAAAGAACTTTTTAAACGCTAGCTTTTTACTCAAACTTGTATCTAAGCTACGCCACGCCACAGGAAGTAGAAGCACACGTCACAAAATTGCACAGGGATTACAATATTACATCCAGTCTGCATAAAATTGAATTCCACTACTGACCAGGTCACAAAATGGCTGCACTTTCTAGTCTAAAACTAATTTGCATATTGTACACATGTAGGACATTTTTTTTTTTACTTCAGTCACAATAATGCATGCAAGTTTGTTTCTTGTAACAAATTTCGTAAATTTGCTCATGCTACCTAGTTTCAAGAGAGCCTGTTTTGAACATTTGCAATAACTCACCTCTTGTTAATTAATAGTTCTAGTGCATGCATATGGTGTATACAGGTAAGTAAACATGCAATTTTTTCACATTCTAAAACTATGGCAGTTTAGGCCATATTGTGCTGCCTGCATTTAATCCGCAATGCAGTGTGTCTTAAACGTTTCGATCCCGTATTAATAGGTGGCATTACACATAACACCTATATAGCAGCAAAGCTAATACAGCTTGTGATTAAAAATGTTTAAAAATAGCTAATAAATCAGATTATCTTGAGGTATTATTTCTTGCAAGTCAAAATGGAGAGCAAAAAATCAACCCTAATTTTTAGTTTATGTATACACTGAAAATAGCAACAACAATAAAAATAAGCTTTTTGTAGCAGACATATTCCATCTTCACTATTTTGCTACCTTTGGTAAATTACTGGGGCAGATCTTGAAGTTAAAAACCCATGTTTAGAAATAAGTGCACGCTTCACCCACTAAATATAGCAGCAGACTGTGTGCCCCTACGCAAAAACATTCTCATATCTAGTTTTAACTTTACATATAAAAATAACTTGGAGAAAATACAAAAAAACATTTTATTTTAACATGAAAATATCACAAAAATTAGTAAGCCTGAGATGTAGGGTTTTGGTGAAAAACAAGAGGCTTGTAGTGTTTTGGCTGCTGATAAAGATGCATGTATTGATAGCTGGGGTGAAAAGCAGAAGAATGCACTTATTTCTTCTGCATGTCAGTTATCTTCCAACACAGTAAGCCACATGCACCCTTCTTTCCTTACGGAGATGCTGGTTCACCATGTTTTAATTCCAGCGGAAGTGGATCTGACGTGGGCGGTCAGCCCCCTCCTTTACCAATGGCTTATGGAATTCACGTCCCGCACGCGAGTGGATATTTGTCCAACAGAACTCACAGTAATACTGCAGGCAAGTGACGTTGGCACAAAAGAAAGGGGCAAACTTCCCGCCGCATCGCGCGCCCTGGCACTCGTCGCACATCTGGTCATCCAACACGTATGGCTTTACCTCCACCTGTTGGAGTAAACCAGAAACAAGTACACTTAAGACAGATTCCCACTTAGCAGCACGTGAGGGCACTCGGTGTTTTCCAGGTAAAAAAGACACAACACCAACAAAAATCACACAAAAGTGAAATCACACATATTAACGCCTCTCATTAAGAAGTTATTACTTATTAATGGTACAGATCTGTCCCCACGCAGGAAGCAGAACAGAAGTACACGTTACATGTTATAAACAGCTCCCCTTAACTTATTCTGGAAGGATATTCTTGGCGAACAACTATATGGAAGCATGTGCAGAAAATAAGCCAATGAACCCAAAGGTCTCACAATTAATCTGATCAGCTCCCAAATGTAACCCAACGTGACAACCAATTCTATCCTGTTTAGCCAAAAAATTGAATACACAAGAATCAGCCTTCTTAAAAAAAAATAAGTCTCTGCGTGTACTACTGCCGCGTGCAAATCAAAAGTACTTCCTGCAGGCTGGAATACAGATCTCTTAGCACTCCTGTTCCCTGTAAATTCACTTCCTATTTCTAAAATAGGGTCAAATTTGAGGCTACTGAGTTTGGTCATCAGTTACTTCCCCTTTTTGGGGCTTTGAGCTGTACAGAAATTGGTATTCAATGTATTTCTGAAACTCTTTTTAAAAGGCCATTCTGCAAAAGCCTACAGACTGCAAGAAACACCTGTCTGGCACTGCTTTCTGCTCCCAAACTCATTTGACTGTCAGAGTGGAAAAGTGGCAGGAGGCCAGCGGTAAATCTGCATTATCTTTGCGTAACTGAACAGTTAAAGACTGCCATCAGACAGGAAGAACAACTTCAGAATAAAACACAAAATGAGTTGACTCCACCATTGGGCAATGCATCATCTTCCACATTTTCCTCACTTTTAAACACGGTGTTTTCTGCTTTTTGTTGGCAAAAAGTTTTTCCAGTTCATACAAAAACACTGCTGCAGATTATTTTCTGAGATACTGCTACCTGAGAATGCTACATATAGATGTTGACTTTATGTATTATACTTCAACAAAATATCTTTGAAATAATAAGAACTTTAAAATCCTATTATTTCTATTGTGTCTCCAGAGGAAAAAAATTCACACATACAGCTACCCACCTCATAGTTTTAGAACAGAACAGTATTTTATCTTAGCTTCAGAAGCAGAGGTCATACTTGACATGTAAAATGTATCTGTGTTTGAAATAGAGTATGCCTCCTTCCAGTAATCTATATTCAGTACAAGCTCTACTACTTATTTCACTGTGACAACCTGCCTTATCACAAATTACACTCAGGCTTTCCAATAAACACGTACCTTATACAGTAACTATGTTTGAGGTTCAAAATTACTGAAAGCATGAAGCAGCATATATTTATATTTTTGTGTATTTATATTTATATTTTTGTGTCCATGCACCAAGATTGGTATGAAGATGATTTCAAATGTATTAGAGAAACACTTTGGGAAATGGAAGTATTAAACGAAGTGGATGCAGACTGTCAAAGTTAACAACGTTTTAAGGAATTGTTTGGAGTTGAAAGTCCAAACAAGTTTTAAGAAATGTTTAGAGCTGAGCTTTCATACATGATAAAACAGGATGAGGAGCACTTTACTGAAGAAAAACATCTGTTAGAGAAACTAAACATATCTACACATCAAAAGAACTGGCGAGAAGCTTCGGGGTACTTAGGTAAGGAAGAAGTTAAGATCACAGACAACGTTTGTTAAATGACTGTGACACTAAGATTACCAGGTGAGGTAGGAAAAGGTACGCGCCAGAAAAAAAAAAAAGCTATAAATACTTTTAACTAAAGTTCAGAAGGATAACCACGTGAACTGCAATATTTAACAATGAAAGAAGACTTTTACACTGACAAAACTGGTTACGAAAAGAATGTGAAGGGACAGTGGGCCTAGAGAAACTGGACAGAAGTGGTAGAGGAAGGCTGTGCTAAGGACAAAGGCCGGAGACCAGCCTGCCTCTGAGACCGCAGTGACACATGTCACACACATCACCCCCGGCAGCACTATCATCCTCATTTACAAAACCAGCACTTTACAGATTTACACAAATTGCTTGCTCATCTATAAGTCAGCAGTAACGCTGACTTCAGACTATTTCCAGAGCCTGAAAAAGCATTAGTGTGTAAACTCCGCAGAGCAAAAAACCTAGTTCTTAAAATATTTTTTTCATGCTTTCAGAAAGAGCAAAGGGTTGAAGTGTCCCCTAAGAAGAGGCTGTTTTGTATCACTCCTCAGTAACACAAATAACTGGGTTGCATAAATACATATAATTATATAAATAATGACTGACCACATGATGTAATTAGAGATGATGTAAAACAAAGATTAAGACCCTGCTGAAACAAACAGAGAAGCTCATAAACCCTCCCCAAGGCTTAAAGAGAAATTTATCAAAATACTTAAGAGTTTGCATTGCTGTAGTGTCCAGCGAAACACCTCAGGAGTAGCACACATTTTTAAAAGTAAGAAAAACCAAGGGTGCTAATAAAAATGTCAAAATTCCAGATTGAAAAGAATATTTGAGTAAAAAAAATAATTTTCAAACACTAGAAAAGCAATATTAAAGAAAGAACATAAATTATAACAATCAGAAAAGAAACTCTGAAGATCCAGATATTTAAAGGGAAAACCTAGATCTTACTTCCCTCTCCTCCAGTCTCTTCAGCCCATAGACAGTTATCTACAGACACTAACCATACCGGCTTCTTCCTTTTATTTTTTTATTTTTTATTTTTTTTCTGTTATAGTGATTGACCAAATCATTTTGCTACTGTTTTTATAAACTAAGTTTCACGGGTATAATTCAAATGTTGTGCATCTGGAATCTAATATTTGGGGTAGATTTTGTGTTTGTTTTGCTTTTTTTTTCCTCCCTGTCCAAGCATCAAGAGCCCTGAAGGACATGCCCACTCTTTTACTTGAGATTTACTGCCCATACCTATTTAAGTATCTCAGTGTTCTATCACACATTAACAAGTTACATCCCATTCTCTGCCACTTCAGGTGCCTACTCAGAATCCAAAGAGTCCTTAAAAATCTCTGGTGACCTATCGTAAAAACAAAACAAATCAGAACAAGCCAACCTACTGGGAAGGGCAGCCTTGAAGGCAGGTTCATGGCTTCCTTTCTCTTACGAGATGGCACCGCCAGTCTCCTCTATAGGCCTCTACTACAAACGACGCTCCCATGAGAACAGGAAGCCCAAGACAAAAGTGCCTCCTAGTTTAGAGGGTTCAAGTCCACGTCTCCCACGTTTGAGGGAGAACTAGTCTGGGCGGGACCCAACTGTACACCTTGAATTTTGAAGTCCGGTCACTTCACAGTCAAATGGACTACAGATAGAGCTCCTGAAACACACTAAGATACACCCAGTTCCAAAGTTAAATGACACATTTAGCACTTCTTTAGGAGGAGTTCTGGATTCTGGTTCATACTCCCATTTTGTCCAACTCAAATGCAAGATGGCTAAAAATTTGATTTCCCCTCACACTGTCACAGTGTCAGGGCCGTTTTTTCTGTTACATAATCAGCCAAAAGGTAGAGCTGTTAGTCAAAGTCAGCTGCAAGTCACCAGGACAGCAATTCCACCAGCCAGATGCAGCTGTCACATCTTCGCATGAAGCCTCGCTCACTACCCACATTCAGACCCTCTTATCCTCTGCAAAGGGCCTTGTTTGGGGATTTCAGCTCACCAGGCGACTGGTATCTGAGAGACAGATGTAAAGCTCTATTACTTTATCTATTTGAAAGCAAAGAAGCACAAGCTACCTCCCTACAGCAGACTTTAACTGTACTACTTTCTTTTCCCCACGTCTTTGATCTGTAGAGGAGACTGGACCTTGAACTACTCTACTTACTCAACCTTTCTTCCTCTCTTTTTTTCTTTTTTTTTTTTTTAAAAAAGAACATCTATTAATCAGTGACTACCTCTGCAGCTCTTGACATCAAAACTAGTGACACTTAAAATTGACATAATTCAGGTGCCAGTTTTCTTTGCTACTTTTGTATTTCTAATCAGGAGCAATGAAGTTGATTAGTCTTCTTAATAAAAGTTTTGCTTTAGCTAGCATTAAGCAACTGCAGCAACCAGAAATGTACACAGGTAAGTAGTAAGACAACTCTCAAACAGAAAAGATAAGATGTTTTGTATTTTAGGTGTTCAGCTTGATTGATTTTCTGAAGTGCTGAGCACTGACAACTATGGTTGAAATTAAAGGCAGCTGCAAATATAAAGCTAATCTGAAACCAATGAATACCAGTTTCCTATAGATGACAGAGGAATTATCAAAGTATTTGGTTTCATTAGACCAAGGGAGAGAAAAAGATTTTCAAGCCCTTTGCCCACACACAACAAAACCAAGAACTCCAGAATGGAAAGAGCATATGGTTTAACACATGTCCAAGGAACCGACTGCTGCTTTGTGGAATGCATGTTGTTCGTTTGGGGGCGTTCATGGTTTAACTCACGGAACTAGTGGAATTACAGGAATACTAAAAGAAATGTAGCAGCTAGCATGAAAGTCAATCAAATACAACATTACTGCACCCTGAGAAGTTCCTTCATAGGCCACCACTCTTATGTTTATTTATTTTTCTGTATAACTTACTCGTTTATCAATATCGCCATGCTGAAGTTGAACAAACCGAGCACTGATGGCAGCAATGTAACTCTGCTGATTGGAAAAAGCAACACGTCCAGCACCTTTTGGGTATTTCAGCTCAGGGTCAGTATCAATTCCTGCGTAACAAACTCCACCATAGAGACGGTCCATGATCATAGCCAATTCCACTATTGAGAAACAAAACAATGTTTGTTTGAACTGTTCTTACAGTGCAAACTTTACATAATATGCTTGTACTTAAAAATACTAGAAAGTTTGATTTTAATAATTAATTTTACAACAGCTGATGCAACAGCAATAATAAGAAATATAAAAAACATATTAAATAAGCTAGGAACTACTCAGCAGACAGATTTTTCATATTGTGGCTACATACATCCAAGGAACAATGGAATTCTAAATTCTTGCAGTTCTTGATAACCTGGAACTGAATCCAGGGCAGTTTTCATCAGGGGATTACAGCAAAAGACATTTTGGGCAGGCATGGAATGTAAGCTGTATAAAATAGAACCACATGCCACAAATTTCTTGGTATGTGTTCCCTGGCTGCCCTGATGCTTTATGTCCTACTTGAATTTACGGATGTAGTTAGCATCTTTTCATCAGCGACACAGAGCTTGATTATCTCTGCAGTGCTACCTTTACCATATACCCTGAACTTCATGGAAACAAAAATCTCCCATTTTACAGACCAAGTATTTTAGCAGTTTTCTAGTAATATTTTATACTACATTCAGTTTTGCTATTGATTTAGGTGGAAAACACTGGTTTTTTCAGAATTAGTATCCTCCGTATTAGGATACAAAGGTGTCAACACTCATGATCCTCAATAGTTATCTGAAAATTCTCCTAACGTTTTGCGGCTTTGTGAAGTCATGATTCTTATTTCACAATGCCATAAAAGTTTCATTTTCACATATAGAGGGCATTTGAAAGCCAAGCACAAGAATGCATCCATTAAATTTATCACAGACATTCAGCACAGTAATCTGGAGTATTTGGACGAAATTTAAAGAAAAATTAATCTGCAGTTGGAACACATTGTGTTTATGCTCATTTACAGCACTTGAACTACAATCAAAAGCACAGCCTTAAAAGCTAAACAACGGAAAAACTTGAGCATTGCAGGTCCAAGATAGAAAAATTTAAGATTCCTTATACACTAAATGTGCAGTATCACTTCTTGGTTCTCCTACATATTCCATCTGAAAGCTCATCTTTCTGTAAGAATAAAATTCATTAAGAACTATGCAAGACTAAGGAAGACCAGGAGTCATTCTAATAGAAGACAGGATTTGAGCCACTGTGTGTTACACTTCTACTTTGGACATTCACTTCAGCCTACTTACTAGAAGGCCACCATGAAATACTGTAAAAGGCTACAGCAGCCAATCTCGCAGAGCAGACTGACCACGTTGCAAATCAACCATTCCACCACTACAGAAACACTTAATTTTTCCTTTATACACTCCAACAAGAGTCCAGAAAAAGTCCTGCACTCTCAGTTATTGTTGAGCCATACAGACTGCTAGCTTTCTGAATTTCCTTCTGTTCTCTGTTCTTACTCTTCCAAGTACTCCATCACTTGTGTTTTTGCTTTGTCCATATTAGCATAAATCACTGCAACCCGATAGCAGAAGAGTAACTAATGCACACTGACAAGCACGTACAAATAGAGCTCCACATACTGATGGAGCATGGCAGACAGGTTTTCATAGTGTAATTTCTAAACCAAACTTTTGTGACATAGTTTACACTACAGTTTTGCTAATGTGATCAAAACCTTTTCTACAGTTCTAGATACGTAACAGTTTCCAGTAAATCTTCATGATGAACAGCAGTTTATGGCCAAAGCCAGATGAAAGTAGATACTAGAGAAATGTAAGATTATATGAATTTTGTACTGTGGTCATAACTATCACAACACTCTTCTATTTTAACATGTATATTTCTTTATCTATCCATACTTAACCATACAAAAGTATGCATGGTTTAAATTATTCCAAATAATCTCCTACTTTTAAGAACAGCCACAGATAACACTCACCAGCTCTTAATGGTCTAGGGACTCCTCCAACAAAAATTGTTTTTCGAGGATCAAGCGGCTGGGAACCATCCATCACAAAGTCACTATCACTTAGATTCCAGGGACGGATCTGAACCTATTAAATCGGGAAAGGAAACAGTACGCTCTTTAAGTTTCACGACACCGTGTATCTATGTTCATCAGCCTATATAAACTGTCAAAGTCATAGCTTAGCATGTCTAGGTGCTTTGTTTTAATCCTATTAATTCAAAACACTACCATTTTAAAATCATCCAACTGTTCTAGATGCTGAGCTCTGCCAACGGTAACTTGCTTTGATTTTCATCATCATTTCAAATGCAGCTTTAGACAGATGGCAGCTCTAGCCTGCAGGCCTGCTACTGTTTACTTACGGGCTTGTCCTTGATAGTAGGACTGGAAACACACAGATAGAGCTTTCCATCTTCTTCGATGCAGGCATCAATCAGGGCCTGAACAGAACTCTCTTCTTGGAACAGGAGGAATGCATAACCTGGAAAAAAAAAACCAAAGCAACTGATATTTTTTCTCTTATCTTTTTCTTAATCGTCTTTGTCAGTGACTTTTCCATACAAATGTGTTTACGCAAAAAGTAAAAGTTAGACCAATTCTTTGCTACTAGTCATCCTCTTGAACTATGTACTACCTTGCCATAATGAACAGAACTTCTATCCTTAAAATAATGGTCAAAAGAGACTAATAACCAAATAAAAGCAAACGTATCTGCACTATAATGTACTGGAAGTCTAGGCTGAGCAAAATTCATTGGCAGCAAGGGACATTATACAATGAAAATCCGACTTGGCACAAAGGACTGATCTCTATTCTAGAGATTACATCAAAGTACTTTGTTACGTAAGTGACCCAGCAAACCTCCCAAACACTACAAAAATAGGAATTAAAATGCTTACTTAATGCAACAGTAAAAACAGGCAGACAAGCAAAGAACCTCACACATTAGAATACTGTAACGGTTACAGTATAGTGAATATACAAAATTTTAACTTGACAGGTGCCCAATAGCACAATTAGGATTGTAGTCTAAAACAAACTTTACAAGGACTCTAAATCCATATTTCTTTCTGTGATTAATAGCAAGTGTGGAATTTTCACACAAAGTTAAGTTTCATTGCTTGGACAGAAAAATAAATTTTGAAGTAGCTGCTCTACAGCGGGTTTGGCAAGAAGGAGCATGGCTGCTTTACCAAGCCTTTTGGAAACGACTCAATATTTCTGAGAGAAGTTAGTTAATGACTGGCTGTTTCTTACTGCAAACAGACAGTGCCGGTCATCAAGAAAAGAAACAATGTGTTAAGAACATAAGATTAGAGAAACAAATAAATGCATGACTGATTTTAGATACATGGGAACATAAATAGGATTTAAAGACAAGGCTCTGAGGCCTATACTGGTCTTTCTAATAACTTACACGTACAAGGGACACATGACAAAGTTTTAAGTATTCTATATTTTTATGTAAATCTTAGGTAATGTCTCAACAAATGTGCCACAGGGAATCACTGAGCTTAGGCTGAAGCACTTTCTTGTGAAGTCAATTTTTCATTGATGAATATATTTTTCAGTGACAACCTGTTTAACTTAGACTTAATTAGAAGTTATTTAGATTCAAAATCTGGTTTAATGGGAGTATCTTTCAGTATTTATCTTAGAATTTTAAATCCATATATTACCCATGCAAAACCCACTCATTGAACGAGGGCATGGGCAAGTGAGACTTGATCTGCATAATTGTCCTTACTTGTGTGAATACCAAACTCTTGTTTGAATGGGGAGTTCAGTACAAGAATGATGGGAGTGCAAAAACTTCTCCAAAGGGAGGGCTAAATGCACATGATAGTGACTAAGAGGTCAGATATACAAAGTAAAGGCTCACAGCCAGAAGCAAAATATTTTGCCAGATGCTGATTTTCCATCAGTCCTCATCCTAAAGGAAATCAAGGGTACTGCCATATAGCTCCTGATGCAAAAAGATGGTGTCTCCACATCATCTACCATCTGTATGTTTGCAGCTATTACTATGCTCAACTGTGGCAGCTTGTAAAAAGATAAAAAATTCAAATACAAGAACTTGATGAGGGAACAATTGAGATTACTATATCCTATCACACCTGAAATAAAAGGAATGCAATACTAAAATAAAAGCAATACTAAAATTATGCATTAATACTGCTTTCTAAGTACTAGCTACAACACACGTACTCATGTCTGGATTCATCCCACTGAATTTTAAGCATCAGACGGGCTTGTGTCATAAGCTTAACTGATTTTTTCCCCCCTCTAAAGACACAGGGAAAGTTAAGGTATAGTCTGTACTATCAAATTGGTCTGGCCATAGTTTTCGTTCCATGGCTCTAATCTTTCAAATCATAGAATCATAGAATGGCCTAAGTTGGAAGGGACCTTAGAGATCATCTAGTCCAACCTCCCTGTCACGGGCAGGGACGCCTCTCAACCAGATCAGGCTACTCAAGGCTCCGTCCAACTTGGCCTTGACCACCTCCAGGGAGGGGGCAGCCACAACGTCTCTGGGCAATTTATTCCAAAGTCTTGCCACCCTCGTACTAAAGAATTTCTTCCTAAAGCCCAATCTAAATCTATTCTCCTTCAACTTAAACCCATTTCCCCCTGTCCTATCAGTGGACACTCTTGTAAAAAGTCCCTCCCCAGCCTTCCTGTAGGTTCCCTTCAGGTATTGGAAGGCAGCTACTAGGTCCCCCGAAGTCTTCTCTTTTCCAGACTGAACAATCCCAGCTCCCGCAGCCTGTATATTCTCTGGTGAGACTGATGCTCAGTGTGCCTGTGTGAACCGTGCCACTGTTTCAGCGAGCAAGTGCTATGTTCTGTAACGCTATGAAGCAATCTTGGTGCACCAGTTGACCATTATTTGAATCATATATACACCTTTCCCTCTCTTTATTACTTGGAAACATGGAGCTGAAAGTCTTGTGACATAAACGATGAAAAACCTGCAGTTACATTAGCCTCCTGCTCATGCTTATGTGGACTGCTTGTAATAACCTAATAGCTGGCTGAGCCTCCTGCTTAACCGGATGGCTATAAGCTTTAAACAACAACTGCAACAAAAAGTAGTGTATAACAGCTAGCAGATACACAGTCCTGTCCATACGATGATGAATGACTGTACCATGGCTAGCAATTTTTCAAGTCAACAGCAGCCCAACGATAGACGTTGACCAATACACTACTCTTATGAAGGAATGAGTGGTTGCATAAATGATTAACAATGTTTTTAATTTCCTCCAGCATCTAGCCTGGAGGAAAATAACCAGTTCTTCTGGTGAAGAAAACTGGCTGGAGAAGGTAATTTTGCTCAGGTGACACATTTTATAGCCATATACAGAAACAGTCAATCCCTTCCAAAGAATGCTAGACTAACCTCTCTCCATCACTTGCCCTGGACCAGGGTGCATTTCCCAGTACAAATCAAGTATACGTTAGCCATAGACTTCTCCAAAGAACACCACTTACACAGGCAACAAGCCTCTATTCAGTAGCTAGAAAGTGCTTGTAAAGGGAGTTTACACTCTTATCTTGGGCCATCACAGAACAATTCAAGAGCCATCACAGAACAATTAAAAGCCAACAGGGAGATCAGGCCCAGTCAGCATGGATTCATGAGGGGCAGATCCTGCTTGACCAATCTAATCTCATTCTATAACAGGGTGACCTGCTTCGTGAAGGAGGGAAAGGCTGTCGATGTAGTTTACTTGGACTTCAGTAAGGCCTTTGACACCGTCCCTCACAACATCCTTATGGCTAAGCTGGCTGCCCATGGCTTGGATGGGCGCATACTCTGCTGGGTGAAACACTGGCTGGATGGCCGGGCCCAAAGAGTTGTGGTCAATGGAGTTAAAGTCAGTTGGCGGCAGGTCACGAGTGGTGTCCCTCAGCGTTCAGTGCTGGGACCGCTCCTGTTTAACATATTCATCAACGATCTTGATGAGTGGATTGAGTG